AGAGAGAGAGAGAGAGAGAGAGAGAGAGAGAGAGAGAGAGAGAGAAAGAGAGAGGGAGAAGCAGAGATAGAGAGAGAGAAGGCAAAAAGGAACGCACAAAAATAAAAAGAGAGAGAGAGGGGAGTTGGGAGAGGTGGGGAGAAGTGTGGATGGTTACCCAGCATGGCGAGCTTCGTCCCGGGACATGAGAGTGAAGATCTCCGCGACAATGGGATTCTTCTTCTGCAAAGCCAGGAGAAAAAAAAAAAGCAATGCCAGTGGAAAAAAAAAAAAACAAGAAAATCCGTCAATAACACTTTCGCTTGTTTTGTTGTTGTCGTTGTTGTTTTTCCCCCCTTCGTGATGACATCTATTTTTCTTCTTTTTTTTTTTCTTTTTTTTTTCTTTTTTTTCTTTTTTTTTTCTTTTTTACTGAAGATCTCCGTGACAATGGGATTCTTCTTCTGCAAAGCCAGGAGTGAAAAAAAAAAAAAAAAAAAAGCAATGCCAGTGGGAAAAAAAACACACAAGAAAATCCGTCAATAACACTTTCGCTTGTCTTGTTGTTGTCGTTGTTGTTTTTTCCCCCTTCGTGATGACATCTTTTTTTTTTTCTTTTTCTTTTTCTTTTTCTTTTTCTTTTTTTTTTCTTTTTTACTTCGAGCGTGGGATGTCGCTGCGAATGGTGGGTGATAAGGGCATGCCCTCTAAGTGCGCCGTCCCACAACTAAACCAATAATGACGGGGACATTTCGTTTCTTTTTCCAGCTTTTTTTCTTTTTTCTATTTTGCAGCAATTTCCTGAGTAATGATTACGGTGTTCGTGCTTCGGAAGTTTTCCTTTTTTTTTTTCTTTTTCTTCTGATGTTTCGGAAGTGTAAAAAAAGCGTGAAGAGGAGAAGCGAGCCCGCTGCCTCTCACTACCTCACTGGGGGATTATAACATTTATATTAAATCGTAATATATCCCCAATTTCGACTTTTCCTAACATAATTTTAAATACAACATGGCAAGACCCCATAACCATCTGCTGAACGAGTAGCTCCGGGTCTTTTTTTTTTTTTTTTTTTTTTTAAGAGCAGCAGCTTGTCTGGCACCATGCTTACGATCAACAACCCGTGCAAAAATCCGCACTGGTTACCCAAGAGCCTAGCTCAGTGGGTACACCCATCAACTGTTGACAAATACAGACAGACCCAGACCCGGGTTCGAATCCAGAGGATGATGGAACATGATTGATGAGTAAAAGCAAATATTTTCTGAATTGACTGGGGCCGGTCAGCTCAATGATGACATCTCAAGACCGTCGCCCTTTACTTACCAAAAAAAAAAAAAAAATCCGCACTGGCTTGAACGCTGCTCTTAAAACCACCAGTCCATCCGAAGCTAAATTGACGATGAACCAGAGGTTTTATTTTTCCGGCAATGCCGGCCCCTTTTTTTTTATTTTTTTTTTTTTTGCGGGGGGGGGGGGTGTTGGGTGTAATCTTCATTTGCCCACCCCTTTCCCCCCAGCCTCTATTGCGCCTGGGCACTGTGGGGGGCCGGGGGTTTGAACATATGATTTACGGTAAGCATTCGCCTGAGTCATTTAACGAGGGAAAAAAAAAAAAAAAAAAAAAAAAAAAACTGTTGTTACCTGGCGGAACATGTCGGAGTAGAGAGAATTCTCATGCTACATAGCAAGCCCTGTAAAAGCATTAAAGCACCCGTACTTGGCCAGCGATGGCCCGCCGAAAAAAATAGAGTGAAAACGTTTCTACTCGGATGAATTTGGACGCTCCTCTACTGGCCCGTACGTTTCATAAAATTGTGGCTGGTTAACGGGCTCGACTTTAGCAAGTACTGCAGTGGTTAAAGGACAAATCTTTTTTTTTTTTTTTTTTTTTTTTTTTGGAAGAAGTAGTAGAGAGTGAACTCCATGCAATGACACAGCCGAAGTGTGATATACACTCAAAGAAAGGAAAAAACAGGAAAGATACGAAAAAGGAAGGCTGAAGAAGACACAGAAAATAGAAAGTACCCCGACCGCATCAGCTCGTAATAATGATATTACGTATTTAATTTATGAGTGCAAGAAAAAGATGGCGTTTATTTTTCCACCATGACATGAAGAACACTGACGAAGGAAAAAGAAAAAAAAAAAAAAAAAAACACTGGCGAAGAAGAAATAGTGATAAAACAGTGGCCTTTTTTAATGCTTCTGAAGAAATAATGATAAAACAGTGGCCATGTACTGTATATTGTTGGGGGGGGGGAAGGCGGGGGGGTGGCTTCTCGCACAAGCAACAATATATAGTACATTCAGATCTTCTCCGCATGTACTGTTCTCAGAAGCATTAGAAAAAAAAAAAAAAAAAAAAAAAAAAAAAAAAAAAACAAGAGTATGCGTAGTCCCCCAAGGGCGTCAGCTCGACAACGCGCAGAGAGCCGTAAAGATACAAAGCGCATGTGGCGAGCACGGGTTTGTTATGTATTGGCCTGAGACACTCTTCCCTGCCCGGTCCGTCTCCACGTGGCTATCTTCACCGGCAGATACAGAGGATGAATCAGGCCTGCACCTGGAAAGCGAAGACGGCCAGGTACGGACGGGTCGACCTCGTGTTCATGCAAAAACGCAAACAGTGATGGGCTCTTGTTCGACCTTTCTACGAATTCCCAAAAAACACTCTCTTTCTTTTCCGATTTTTTTTTGAAGAGAAAAAATAATACTTTACACGTGGCAATCGCTTTGCCACGTGCCATTGGTTGGTGCCGTAAGGCGGATCCTGGCTGACACGTGCGGCGAATGGCAATGAACGCGTTTCATCTTCTGAGCCTACCAGTGCATGCGGATGAGTAGGGGGAACTTTCTTTTCTTTTTTTCTTTTTTTTTTTTGTAGGGGGAACTTTCTGTCGAAGCACGCACGAAGGACAGTATATCATGGCCTCTGTTTATCACTGTTCTCTTTCTTTTCCGATTTTTGAGAAATAAAAAATAAAAAATATATATATATGGATAGATGGCAATCGCTTTGCCAAGTGGCATTGAGGGCACTCGAGGAAATGCCACGGGGCATCATTTCATTGCCCGAACAAAGAAAAAATCCCGCAACAGCTCCAAGCTACAGGATTGCCCGACGCGGCGTTGCCTTGTGGCTGTCAGCTTCCCGTACCTTTTTTTTTGTTGTTTTCCGAGAGACAGGAGTCAGAGGGTGTACAAGTTTTGGAGGGAGGGAGTATCGAATGTCAGGAGGGGAGGTGGTGGGCGGACAAGGATGGAAATTCGAACATGCACAAACGCACACACATGGGCTCAGAGACGCAGGACAAACCGAGGAGAGACGCACACACACACACACACACACACACAGAGAGAGGGGGAGAGAGAGAGAGAGAGAGAGAGAGAGAGAGAGAGAGAGAGAGAGAGAGAGAGAGAGAGA